TGTTCTGTATGATATTTATACTGGTCTTGCTCTTGAAACTGTAGAAGCACCTATGATATTCACTTCTTTGCTTTATTTGCAAGGGCCCTTTCACTTAAATATCTTTTATTGAGGATCACTTTAGATATGATTAATTAATAGTCTTTTGTACCTTCATGCTCTAATTTGAATATATGTCTCTCCCACATCCCCTCCAAGTTATATCTCAGGCTCAAAGCTTGGATTGTAGGGCATCTCAATAAATATCTGTTGTATCATTGATTAACATTCTTGTTTTTATAACCAGAGGAAAAATGGGTTGATTTAGAGCTATGTCATTTCTTTGATGTTTCTCGCCTTTGCAAAATTAATATCCTGTCTTGCAAGAACTAGTTGTTGCTCGTTTAAACATGGGCCAGAGCCTGTTTGATGTCCCAACATAATAGAGGTATGTAAACAGAAGGCTTTTCAGGCAAGAAGTAAATCTAGATCCATGATTCATGGAAAAACAGACTTGCTTTTCTATGTTTGTGATCTGTAACATAGGGGTGCATAGCTATTTATTATCATTTGCATTATTTGTACTTGCCATATGTTTCTGTCTCCATGAATAATGTTATTATCCTGAAGTTGGTGTGACTTTAATAAGCTAGCTCGTTCTCCATAAGATAGTCTTTGAAATGATTCTATATGCTAAGACATGGAAACACACACGGACACGAAATTGACATGGTAGCTGTGCATTTGATGACTATGACAGTAAATCCTCAGAAAAAATATGGGAAACCGTGCTGAACAACATAGCTTTAGGAAGATGAGCTTTCAACTGGTAATTTGCACTTTCAAGTCCTTCACCTTGCCGTTCAGGGGACCACTGTAACAACGGTAATTAAGCCAACTCTAGTTTCTACAAGTTTCTGTACAACTTTTTCGCATTTTCTATTCTTCCAAACTTGGTAGTACTTACATTGTTAAACGCACTTCCTAATAATAACAACAACAAGGTTTACTGTCAATTTTGGTTTATCAACTTTAAGGTTTTGTATGGTTTTGATCTCTCAATTATTTTATTTACTTTTTTGGTCCATCAACTTTATTTTTTAAAAAAAAAGGGGTATTTTTTTAATTTTTTTGTCAATTAATTCAATAAGTTTATTCATATATATTTTTAAATTTTAAATTTATAATATATACATAATTTTAGTTTTTAAATTTATAAGTTCAGAGATTAAAAATATGTATATATGAGTAAATTTAATCCACAGTTGATCATGTCCTTCAAGTCGCACGTTGCTTTCTACCACATCGTTTCAAACGAAGTTTTACCATGCCTCTAGTTTTGAACCGGTCTGTAATTGATTCAATTATGGAATCATGAATAGTCATTAGTTCGTCCGGTACTCGTTCAGTACATAGTAATCTACACTTTTGACTTACATATGTAAGTATCTGAAGAAAATTTTGAGTATCAGTAAAAAGAACTGTTTTAGTTAGTGTATGAATGCAAATCAAAGAATATCAATATATAAGCAATATATATATATATTATCTACTTGTTTTATATTGTGTTATATTTCTTTTTTTTTATATAATATTTATATTT